ATAGCCGAAGTCCCGACGAGTCCGGATTAACGACTGTATTATTTTAAGTCTCACTAGATGAAAAGAATAAGTTTTGCATTAATTTTTACAATTTTGTGCTGTATCTTGCGACCACAGTAAAAGACAATAACTTGTTTTAATATGTAGAGATAACTTTTAAAGGTGAACCATTAGTTATAAATAATTACATTACGTAGTTAAATACCCTTAATCGTTATAGATTTACATGACCACTATTAAATTTTTATTCATTTTTTAAAACATTTCTTGAAAAAGCACTATTAAAATCACAATCTAATAACATTTCACAGTTTAAAATGCATGTAATTTTAAACTATCAGCTTTAAATCAATGTAATAACATTGATCCTTAAACGGTATTAGGGTAATTCCACATTTAAAAGCTAAGCAACAACACATAACAAAATATTTGAGTCTTTTTAATTTGAAGCCTTCCCAGACATTTTGGTTTAATTTATATCTATTTTCTTGTCTTTAAACATCTTTCCTAGCAATTAAAAATCTTTTTCAACACAAACCAATGTTCCCACTAGTTTCTGTGTGCTTTATCTCATAATTTGACAGTCTCTTACAATTTTATTACAGTAACAAGGTTTTACTTGATCTGGTAAAAGTTAAATAGTACAAAACCTCTTGTAGACATTAAGCAAATTATCACTATGTCTGAAAGTAACTACAAAGTCACACAAACGTTTAAAATAAACCTTTTAATTTCTTTTATTCTAAAAAACCAAATGCATTTAGAATGTAAAGAAAAAGTTGATAAATATGAAATGATGTATAGTAAGTTTCAGGGCCGATGAGGCAGAATTTTTAGAATTTAGTGACACACCGAGCAACAAAATCTAGAAATGGCAAAACTTTTAGAATTTAGGACAGGCAGTGGGAGCAGAATTTAGGATCCATGGGGATTGCATCAGGTGGGAAAATGCCTGTGTATGATCCATTGAGACATACAAGGTGAATCTTTTAAATTGTCAGTTTTCAATTTCTTTATTAATAGAAAAATTCTTTGATATAAATGCCTGTCCATGCAAAAAGATTAGAAACATTTTTGATATTTTCCATACTTGCGTCTAGTGAGAAAATAAAGGGAAGATAAATATGTTAAGAAACAGACTTTTAACAACATTCAAACATTATGTTTTCAATGTTTTTCCGAAAATTCCCCCAAAATGTAAGAAATTCTTCACAAACTTTCTGCAAAATACATCCATTATGTGTTAATACAATGAAGACATTTTCATTTTGTCAATTTTTTTAGCCGTTTAATAAAAGAATTCTTATCCCCAAAAGCAGAAAGTTGTTTAACCCGGGAGAAGTTGCGCGGGGCACAGAGTTACCCCATGCGTCAAAAATCAACAATCCTAACCGGAAATATTTCATTTTAATGAATCATCCTTCTAATATCCTCCTGTTTGACACTACCCTTGGAATGTGTATTGTTATTTTTGCTTATTTTTCTTTTCTGCGAGAGAAGCAATCGTTTCTTGGAATCCATGAGCGAATGGGGTGACTCGTGCAATCGTTACTGCTTCGAAATTTTCCATTAGTAGCAGTTTAGCTTCGTGCTCTCGAGTGTTGCCATTGTTGATCTGTTGGATAATTTGATAGATAATGACTTAAAAACGTAAATTTACCAAATATGAAAAAGAGATGGAACGTTTGAAAACTCTATTAGATGAAGTTGAGTCTTCTGAAGAAGAAATTGATCAAGATAGTGAAAATGAATCTGATGAAGAAATATACAGTTCTTATGTAAAATGACAGCAAAAGTGAATTTGAGCAGAAGGATGAAGACGATGGAAATCCTGATTTAGTAAAAAGTATTTTTATTAGAAAAAATAAGAGTTTGGCAGAAAGGAAAAGCAAATCAAAAAGTGAAAATGTCTCAAATTATATAAACTCATTTACCAGGATAAAAGGAACTGCACGCAATATAACGGAGCCTCTAGAGAGTTAGGAATTGTTTTTCAATGCTAAAATGATATGATCCATTGTAGAGTGCACAAATATTTATATTGAAAAAATATCGTTAAATTACACCAGAGATCGGGATGCCAAAACGACAAATGATGTGGAAATTAAGAGTACTTTTAGGGCTTTTATATCCGTGTGGCTTGCATAAATCGTCACATACAAATACGCAATATTTGTGGGCTACTGATGGATTAGGCATTCAAATTTTACGGAACACAATGTCACATAAAAGATTTAATTTTCTTCTCAGGTGTCTACGATTAGACTATGTGACCAATCGTGAAGCTCGGGAAAAATTAGACAAACTGGCAGCTGTGAGAGAATTTTTTGCCGATTTCAATGAAAATTGCCAGAAGATATACATTATTGGTGAATATGTTACCATCAAAAAAAAAAAAAAAAAAAAAAAAAAATTAGAGAAATTTCGAGGGCGGTGTTTATTTTGTCAGTATATACCCAGCAAACCAGTGAAGTATGGAATCAAAATATTTGCCTTAGTAGATTCAAGAATTTTCTACAACTATAACATGGAGATATATGCAGGACAACAGTGGAAGGTCCTTTCAGAGTTGGAAATATACCATTTGAAATTAGAAAACGCCTGTGCAGCCCTTTGTTTGGATCAGGCAGAAACGTAGCAATAGATAATTGGTATACGAGTTATCCTCTAGCAAAGAACTTCTATTAAAGAAGCTAACTATTGTAGAAACCCTGAAGAGAAACAAGGCTAAAATTCCCACAGAGTTCGTTCAAACAAAAACTAAAAACATTTATTATCCTATATTTGGGTTCCAAAAGAACACGATACTAGTATCGTATGTGACTAAAAAATCAAAATGTGTAGTTTTGTTATCTACAATACATTGCGATGATGCCATTGATGAAAGTGATCATACGAAGAGCCCAGAAATAATTCACTTCTATAATGCAACAAAAGGTGGTGTAGACAAAGTTGATGAAATGTCATCACTATATTCAACAGCTCAAAAAACCAACAAATGGCCGATGGTCGTTTTTTACTGTATTAAACATTGCTGCAATAAATGGCCGAGTTGCCTTATTCTCATAATAAACCAAAACTCGACAAATGCCGACGTGCTATGTGCCCAAGGTCCAAAGACAATAAAACTACAATTTTTTGCAAAATATACGATAATTTTTCATGTAAAATTCATTCTTTCTATGTTTGCCAGAAAAGTATGTTAGCTTCTGATCCCTGATTTGGTATGTAATAATTATTTTGAATGGAATTTTTTTCTTAAATATTGAAATAAGTTTTCTTAAGTTAAGAATTATAGTTTCTTAATGAAATATTGCAATTATTGTTTATAATCAAATGGTTTCTATAAAATTTATAACACATTTTCCTAATGAAACTGATTGGGGTGACTCGGTCACCCCGCACGATTTCCAACGTCAATGTTGGGTGCAGGCCTTCTGCCGGGTTAAATGCTCTTCATTAGAAAAAATGAAATAAATTTGAAATGCTTATTTTTGACTCCTTGGCTCAGAAACTCCAGTATCCCACCCTTTACATTAGAAATAGGAATAAATTATAATCCATGAACCCATTCAAAAGATAATCATATTTGTCAGTGAACTGTAAAAAATATTCTTCCATAATGATAATTCACACTCAAAACTAAAAAAACAAGACAAATTTCAGATGATTAAAATTAAGGACCTTCTGCCGATTGTGGCCGAAATTAAGAACTAAAAATCGATTCCAAAAAACCTAAGGAATTTTAAGGACTGTATGAACTCTGAATTAAGGATACTCATGAGAAGGCATACCACTTGGGTTATAAGAGGAAGACAGAACATAAAATCTGTTTAAAAGGATGCATAATGTGTAAATGTTATAATGCTCATCCAGGAATTTATCTTACAGCATCACTGCCAGCTGATAGAATTATAGAATCACCACCTTTTGCGATAGCGGGAATAGACTTTGCTGGTCTACTTTTTGTGAAGAAAAGTGACAGTAAATTTTATATATCCTAAAACAAGAGTGTGCCTTTTGGTGTGTTGAGATGAGAAGGAGGAGATTATAAAAATTCTGTTGTCATTCCCTTCTTTGCATCAATTAGCTATACACTGGCACGTATTTTGCAGAAATTTAACTTTTGGGTCGTTTATTCTCCCATCAATAAAATTCCGAGTTCCATACTCAAGGACCCCATTCTGGATATGAATTCCTGGGTTATTTACAGGATTCCTTGCCAATTTGGCTTAATTTACATTGGCCAAACTAAGAGAGCCTTAAAATTTCGTGTTAAGGAACACAAGGCATATGTTAGAAAAAAGGAAAGAAGTCTTTTGTTGGCCAACATTTAGTCCGAAAATCACACTTTCAATTTTTCTGCTGCCAAAATTATTCAAAAAACATCTTTCATTGGCGAACTGGATTTTCTAGAGGCATTTCACATTCAAAAAAATCTTTCTGTTCTAGTTCACGACACTAATTCTAATCCATCTTTGCCTTCAGCCTTTAAAGAAATTGTGTTTTAGTTCTGGTTTTATCAACAGATGGTGCCACTTGATTATTCTTCTTCAGGCTTTCATAGCTTATCTAATCATTATTTCCTATCTTGTTCATTTGCGGTTTTGCAGCTGAGGATGGTGGTAAAACCATCAAAACCAGTCCTGTGAAAATTTGAAAATATAACGCTGATTTTTTGTTGTTTGACTCCTAAATTACATTTTATCATCTCAAATAAATGTTTTTTGTTTTGTATGTGAATTCAAGCTTCATACATGGTTCACGTGGATTACTACTACTAAGCCAACCCACCCCGAGAAGATCTAAAAGGAATCTAAAAAACTTAATATTTTGTTATAATTTATTGAAACATTTTTTTATAAACACATTTTTAAAAGTTATTATGTAATGAATTTTTAGAAGTTATTAATTATGACATGTAAGGTTTTCACAACCTTAAAATATCAAAGAAGCTTATTTTTAACAAGAACTTGAAAAACAAAATAAAATGTACTTACATCAGGTGGGTCCCCATACAAAGGTTTTGATGTAAGATCAGGTTCCTGTTTCACAACAATTTTTTTCTTTTTTGCAACAGGTTCAATATCTTTAAAGAAAAATGTTTACTTACAAGTGACATACTAATTTTCTTTATTTCACAATTTGATCACTATGGTAATACAGTCAAAAATCTTTAATCCGGACTCGTCAGAACTTCGGCGATTCCGGATTATAGATCATCAGTTTAAATCTGGTAAGATGGTATGCAGAAATTATAAAATTAAAAATATGAAACCGTAATTTATGAAATAAAGAACAATTATGATCTAAAGGGTATCAAAATTTACAAAAAAGCTTAATATTTATTTGTTTACATTATTAATCATTTCTTTCAATGGACACATATGTAAAGCATACATTACGCATAGTCGAAATTAGAAAATTGCAACTAGAAAACTATTTGATGTATATTTGTGATATTTATAATGACGAGGAATTTGATTTAAATCATATCAAAGACAGAGTACATCGAGATGAAATACTACATTTAGTAAGGAATTATAAGCTGAATAAAATAAAAACATCTGCCCTGAAGATAAGGATAGTGCTGACAGATCAACTTCCAGTTCATTGCGCGCTGCGACGTCCCCACCCCCTGCACAGAGCAGCATGAAATTGATAAACAGATTTCGGAATGGTTAGAGAAACAAAGGATATGCCTTTATCCATTTTTTGCAGCAATTCCACTTTTTGTTTGATGGACATCGAAACATGCTTTCACTTTGTACACCCTTTGGCAGCTCCAGAATCGGAAATTCTTTTTGACATAATCGAAAGTTCAAGCTTACTTTTATAAAATTGCTTTAACAGTCTGCAAAAAATAATAAGCCAGATCCAATTCGAAGATTAAGGAACAATGCAATCTGCAACATTAACTGAAATAGATAATTAGATAATTTTAGCTTAGCTTATACCGTCCGTTGTACATTAAACACGCATGCATAAACGTATTATGCACATGCACACATGCATGCGTAAAGGTATTACGAGCATGCGTTAATGCATTATGTGTATACGCATGCGTAGAAAGTTTGTAGCTTTGAGGTCTGGATTATAGATCATTCCGGATTAAGGATGTCCGTATTAAAGACTTTTGACTGTACATACTAATTAAAAACTGAATGAATCATATATAAAATTTAAATACAGCTCATTACAAATGTCAGCACCATAAATTAAGAATTACTTGTAAAGCATTTACAATATAAATTAATTTTTCAGATGCTCTGAAATGCATTACTCTACTCATGACTGTATTCCTTACATAGATTCATATTACCTGGGTAGTTTTTTTATACTGAATTCTTTTTTAATTTCAATTTAAGTAATTAAGTTCCCTTCTTGTATTTATTAGAGCACATTCCATCATAACTCAAACTGAATTGATACGCTAGTTGGCATTAAATTTTTTTGCTCAGTACCAAAATCATGTGACCACCAATGAATAGATAAAATATCAAAGCCAAAAATTTTCTGCAGAGGCAAGATAATATCAAAAATTTAACTACTTGGTTATTTGACATTTCAGACTATAATTCATCATTACAGAGGATTTTGTGTTGGTACTTCATCACATTATTTATTCAATATTAAAATTGCAAGCCTCTGATACCATAACTTTTATGATTATCAACATAATCCATTAAAAAGCACATTCTGAAATAAATTTTCTTTTAAATAATAATATATGCATATTTTTAATGAAATTTGCTAATACCACTGGATTATTTTGCAGGACTTATTGCAGATAATTTTTTTCTTCCCCCCCCCCAATACTCAGTAGAGTATAAGTTCTAAATGTAAAAGTTAATGGATAAAACCAGTGACTTATAATTTTCTTGCACAATAAATTAATAGCAATCATCTTAGAATCAAACATACATAGAAATGCATTCCTTTAATACACACAAATAGCCTTGCAAGGCTTACATTAACACCATATTTTAATAGCTACTTTTTCGCTATCCACTTACCATACATTTTGGCAGGTTTTTAATAGTAAACACACAACTAAATGTGTTAAATGCACACACAAATGGTTTCATAGCACTATCACTGGGTTTTGGTAGTGTTTGGCTTCTCTTTCACACTTACCATAAAGAGTGGCAGGTGCATAATGGATAATTATTATTTAATAACATAAGCTACATATTATACTAATAAAACAAAAAATATGCCTATTGGTGACTTATTTCTTCATCTCTAAACTTTTGCTTTCTTTACGTGTTGTCGAAATACTTTATTTAGTATTTTAATTTAAATAAAATTATTTTCTGCATATAATTTTTTTGGTAGTTACATATCATGACAACCATCTTAAGTAGAAATCACCAAATTTTCAAACTGAACCAAACTCTGGCAACCATGCACATAACTATTTTTGAAGCAACACTAACAATCTTTTAGTCAAGCAACATCATGATTTTTGTGTGTGCTCTTTTTCTTGTATTCCAAGTTCCAAAGGTTTTTAGAGAAAAATCGTGATATTTTCCCCCTGAATTTTAAAAATCTAGCATTTGTGGAATTTGCAGGAACTGAGAGAAATTGGAGTAAAATTTCTGAAGGATTACAGAATTTTGCTGAAAATTTCTAAAGGAAACAACAAGGAGATACATTTGGTAGATACCCGGTGTCGAAGAAGTTTACACAATGGCAAGTCTCTGCAATTCTCTGATTTTTTTTTTTAAAGCAAAGACAGATCCCTGTGTACCTGGGGAAAAGAAGAATAACGTAAAAGAAGTACAGGAAGATCTGGAGACAATTACGAGTGTTTCATACTTTTAATGTATGTCATAATCCTTATTTAAATCTAAACTTTGTATTTTAAATTGCTAAAGTATGTTAACATTTCATATGTTGATAATGTTTGCTGACTTATGATAAATATTGATAATTTGGAAATTATTAAAAAAATTCACAAAAAACCATAGACTTGTACTTGATAATTAGCTTCTACCTTTACATGTGTAACAACCACCAAACTGCACACAGCTGGTTGTGTTAATATGCAAGTACCTCTTTCCTTTCCAACTATTTTGAAACCTACATGTGTATTCCCTCCTTTCCTTTTTTCAGATTACAGTGTGATAGAAAAGCATTAATATCATAAAATTAGAAGTTTACATTAATTTCAGTATGCTAAATTTTATGCAATTTTAAGTTTCACAATTATGTTACCCAAGATGCTCCTACATTAATATATTTATTCTAAACACATGTCATTTTTTACTTTGTACTTACACACTGTTGTCAAATCTATAGACACTACTTTTTTAATCAAAATAACGAAAACAAAGCATAACAGCCATTCAAAATAAAGACTGTAGATGGATTTTAAGAACTAGTTAACAATATAGTTAAAATATTATGCAATATATATATATGTGATAATTTTGAGTAGGAGACTGGATAAAATAGATCACAGCATACATCTAGAAACAGCCATTAAACTTATGAGATGCTTATCTGCATTATAGTTACTTGGAGAGACCTTAATGTGTAGATTCACGAAGACAGCTTTGATGAAAAGAACATATTAATTTATTCATGAACATCCTTACAGTCTACATCAATCTTGGGCGTATGATGTACCCAATAATTCTAGTACATCAGCAATTTATATCTTCACAATGAACAGAGTGGTGCGTTGTAGAGCATGTATGCTAGCATCAAATGAAACAGGGAACAACAAAAGCAGTAGCTGCAGTAGTATTTATGACAAAAATTTATTTAATCTGATCGGTCAAAATTTCACCACTGCAGGCATCACTGCATAAGAGTATTAATTTTGAAAAATATATTTTAGAAAAGTTATTACTATTTTTAGAGTAAAGAGGAAAAGCACCAAAATTAAAAAGAGAAATTAATTGTTATTGCTATTTTACAGTTACATATTTTCTTCTTACATATATATATGTGTGTGTGCAAGATAAAAAAATATGTAACGATAAATTACAGTTTTAATTAGCAGTAACCCTAAAATATGTGAATTATAACTTTAAAATATAGTTTTAATTAGCAATAAATCTTAATGTTTAATTTTAAATAGTTTACTTTCCCTCTCTATTCCAAAACTAGTAAGCTGGTACTTTTCTGTTTTGCCTGGGCGATAAAGTTGCCAGTAATGGTACAGTTGATGCCAAACAGAATATCCTCGCTGGTAACCTTTTACGCCTCACTTTCAAAATAAGTCGCAGCCATTTCTTATCAGATTGATTGTTCTTTCAATACTAGCATAAAATTACATTGTATTTTTACCAGATAGTTCAATTTTATGCCCTAAGGCCATTGGCGATAATTAAGTCAATTAGAATGCAATCACACCACTCACCCGAAGGAGAAAATATAGAAAAGGCAAAGTCAAGGGTTAAATTCATCAATTCTAATGAGAATGCACTAGCGAAGTAAAGCACTGCGGTTTTACATAATTTCTGAGCAAGCTATTCGTATGAATTGAAATAATTCTTGCATTTAAACTTATATTCCAAATTAAGATTTAACTTGAAATTAATGCAGATAATTACTGAGAGAATTAGATTTTTGTAATGAAGTTTATGTGAGATGCTTGCATGTGGGGTCAAGTGATATGAGCCGGCGAATCAGGATGTTGAACCATGAAAGCATAGTAAATTCTTAAATTAAAGTTTTTACAAATTTATTGGCTTTTTACAAAATTTTAAACGATATTAAAATGTTTATGCCTTCAAAATAAAAAATTCTTAGAACTAACATTCGTTAACATTTTTTATTTGTGTATATTGTATTGTTGTCGCCAATGAAGCCTGCTTGGTGAGATTTGCACTGCTGAAATGGAAAAGTACCAGTAATCTTTTTCTGCACTGCATTATTTCAGATTAAACCATGTCTTTACATAACACTGGTGATGTAAATGGAACTAACACTCAGAGAGCGAATAATTTTACAGCAGTATTAATTACCAGTCAAATGTATTGAGAACCAAAACTAACTCATTCTGAATTAAGGTTTTATTCTGAACACGACTGCACTTGTTTTCTAAACTTCAGCCTAGCTGGACTGCTGCCTGTTACTCTCTTCTTACTACAAAGCTATCAAAAATGCAAACGTGATGAAACAGGCAAAAGGAGTGTGCCAAGTTGTTTGTGGCCACATTATTTTTTTAATAAAAATTAAAATTTAATTTGCCTTGACTGCCCAATTTGCTTTTCATTATGGATCTACAATCTATGTATCTGTGTAATTCATTTTCCTATAACAAATACTTTGAAGTTTACTTTCATTACATACATATATTTAAAATATGTATTTGCATGTTTTATACAATTAAGCAATCTCTAAATAATAATAAACATTACATTTTACACACCAGTGCATGACAAACACAACCAAAATGAATGAACACATACTAATCTGTTTTTCTAAATGATCATTGGCTTATTCCTTTAAAATAGCTAAGGATCAGAAACAGAACTTTGAAAAGGGTTCCTTTTTAAACAACTCTATGTTATAAATATGAAAAAAAATTAAGCATAAAAATTAAAGTCAGAAAAGACAGTCAGAAAGATAACAAACCAAAATTTTTAAATTTCCTTTCAGGTGTCTTCCTTTTCTTCTCATTTGATATTTCATTATTTTTGCCTGTAGTAAGAGGAGAATTAATTTTCATTGCAGATCGAAGACCAGAGATAATTGTGCTATCATAAACATTCCGATCTTCCCAAACATTTATGATTCTCTCCAAACCACTTCTTGTCTTTGAGTCTGTAACACTAAAAATATGAATTGTTAATTAAAAAAACTTTTTAGTTTTTTTATGTCTATAGTATTTTATGTCTATAGTATAGACATTTTTATGTCTATAGTAAAACAGTAAAAATGTCTATAGTAAAACAGTAACCTTTGCTGACTATGGATTTGCAAAACCTAATTTTACTTAGTATATGTGTTACCTTGTTTTCACTTAATTTATCTAATGCTAGAATTTGATTTGTATGCAGTATGATGCAGAGCATCAACATCATTGCCAGGAAGCACCAATAGTGCATCCAAACACAGAAGTTTTGTTCCTCCTACCTAACAACACTTTTTTAATCTGATCAAGGAATCATAAAAATATTCAAAGCCTCATGTGGTAATGGCATTTGTTTGCAGTTCCACATATTTTTATAATCAGATCGGTTCTGTGAGGTACTTCAATATGGAAGAAAAGATGCTAATGCCTTAGAGCACAATTCACATACAAATACATAATTTTAATTATTGCTTTGGCTATAAAGAAGGTAGATCACATGTTGGTGTCATAGCAGTGTCCAAAAAACAGAATGTTCTCTAAAAATTTCAGAATGCACTTTGTGATGATGAAAGAAATCTAGTTCCAGATAGTGCTGCCATCTGTTGGGAGAAAAAGGGAATGACTCTTCACAGTACTCGCCCCTCCCCCCCCCAAGTACCAAAGGTACGAAGAGTTAGAGATACCGAGGGTTGAATCGAACCTTCTGTGTAATTGTTGGTGTTTAATATTGCTCGAGCTTACAGAAGGCTTAGAGTCAGAAAAAGGTGCAAGATTGGGTGCTGCATTTGAAACTGGAGAAATAGTTTCAAGTGGACACGGGGAATGTGCCACGTATATTTCATATTTGTTTCAATCATGTTTGTTACTGTTTTCAATAAATAATCAAAAGGCAACTACTGTGAATTAAATGACTCAACACTTCAAAACGAAGACACCACATTGTTGGTGACCTGGACATGATTTGGGATTACTGCTAATCTTCTGATGGAATGTGAACCTTTCTTTGTCTTGGAAGTTTCTGATTCACGACCATGGAATTGAGGTGGTTCCCTTTAGATTCAGTTCTTGAATCTAAAGGAAGTTTTGAATTTATAGTTATGATTTCATTATTTAGTTGATGTAAACTGATTTGAAATTTAGTTTTGAAAACAGAAGTAGCTTATGCAAACATGGTGAAAAGAGTTGAAAGGTTAAGGCAGAAACGAAACTGCATTAGGCAGCTTTTTTGTAATCTTTTGACAAATATTGAAGATGCAATAAATAAACCTTTAAGTGAAATCAGGGTTCATACACATTTCTGCACACGGATATTAAGCACTTTTAAGGACTTTTAATGACCATTAATGAAAAAATTAAGGACCTATAAGAGTATATGCAAGTACTGTGAAGAGTCATTCCCTTTTCCTCCCAACGGATGGCAGCACTATCTGGAACTATCTGGAATTAACATACTTGTTAATAAGTTTGAAAATAGAATAAATTTTGTGAAATTTATCACGTAGCATTAAATATTTACACTCATATTAATTGGACATATTTGAAAGAAGATAATAAAATTTTTAATAAAAAATAAGCTGCACCCATGTGTATATGTTCACATATATATGAAGGAGTCGGAGTCATTAAAATTCCAGGAGTCAGAATCAGAGTTGGTCATTTTCCCTTCCGACTCCACAGCCCTGGTTATAAGTAATTATATTAGGTATTAGATAACAGTCATTATGGATTTACATGGGCAATATTAAATTCTATTTATTTTTTTAACAATATTTGTTAAAAAAGCCCTATTAAATCACAATCGAATAAAATTTCACAGTTTAAAATACATGTAATTTATAGCATTGAATCTTAAACGATATTAGGATAATTATACATTAAAAACTACAAAAAATTTATGTTTTGTAGCAACAACACTCAACAAAACATTTATGCGTCTTTTTAATTTTTAATTTGAAGCCTTCCCCTCCCAGACATTTTTACTAATTTTATATCCATTTCCTTTTCTTCCTTTTTCCTTCTCTTTAAGCATATTTCTAACAGTTAGAACTTTGTTTCAATATGCAAGACAATGTTCTCACTAGTTTCTACATGTTTCAGCTTCTAATCTGTCAACCAAAATGTCCCAAAATGTCTCCTAATCTGTCCCAAAATGTACATATGAGGGTTTACTTGATATGGTAAAAGTTAAATAGTCCGAAAGCCTCTGGACAGATGTGAAGCAAATTATCGCCATGTCTGAAAGTAGCTACAAAGATTTAAATAAGCTTCTTATTTAAAAAGAACTCAGAACATAAAGGCATGTTATAATGCTAAATAAATCAATTACAGCTCGTGACAATGTAATTAAACAAGAAGCAAATTCAAACTAAAAATATGGACTAGTAATCAAAGACTATAACAATTTAATTTCATTTTAAGCTGTAATATTTTAAGCTCAGTAACTTTATCGTCATAACAAATTCAAATGTCGGCAACGGTTATGTACAGACGAATAATTACAAATTATCAGAGGTGGCAGGAACCAATGCAGGGAGCAAGTGGAGGTCAGAAATACACTCTTGCCTTACACTCCCAAAACCTCAGTTTAAAAACTAAGTGATTTGCATTCTGGTGAGAAAATAGAAATGGAAAATTATAGTAAAAGCTGAAATTGTAAACAACTGGGTAATTAACTATATACATATCTGGTACATATCATTGAAGAATAATAACTGTGCTCTTATCATCTTAAGCAATAACTTTCTTTCCTCTTCTATGCATTCAGTTTCTTTCTTCAATTCATTTTCCTCTTCACTTAAGAATTTTTGGATTTAATTAAAGATTTCTGTTATTATAAAACACTTAAATTGCATTTAGAAATGTATAGAGAAAGCTGCTAATTTTATTTCTTTAGTAATATGAACATTCATGAAGAAATGAGGTATATGGTACAGGTCCAGTTATCAGGGGCTAGGAGTGACAGAATTTTTAGAATTTTGTGACACAACCGAGCAACAAAAATCTAGAAATGTAAAAATTTTAGAATTTAAAAAGGCATTGGAAGCAGAATTAGAACAGGCAGTCAGGCAGCAGAATTTAGGATCCACAGACATTGTATCAGGTGGGAAAATGCCTGGTGCCATCCCTGTGTATGATGCATTAAGACATATTAGATGAATAGTTTAAATTGTCAGTTTTCAATTTCTTTATTAATAAAAAAATCTTTTCTATAATGCCTGTCCATATGATAAGATTAGAAGCATTTCAGATATTTTATGCTTGTGTCTAGTGAACAGTAGACAAAATAAAGGGAAGATAAAAATGTTAAGAAAAAGATTCTAGTATCAGAAGTAAAACATTCAACTACAGTCAAAAGTCGTTAATCCGGACTCGTTGGGACTTCGGCGATTCTGGATTATCGATTTTTCCGGATTATAGATCATCCAGTTTAAATCTGGTGAGATGGCATGCAGAAATTATAAAATTAAAAATATGAAACCATAATTTATGAAATAAAGAACAATTATGATCTAAAGGGTATCAAAATTTACAAAAAAAAAAAAAAAAAAAAAAAAAAAAAAAAAGCTCAATATTTATTTGTTTACTTTATTAAACATTTCTTTCAATGTAAGTTGTTTAAGTTGCTTCATTTTATGTGATAATACTTTCTCTTTAATTCTATAAACAGACATAATTTCTTCTTCAGTTACAAAGTTCTGCTGTTCAAGTCCTATAATTGCTGTGTCGAAAATACCGACTAATTTGTCAATCGAAATTTTTTCGTTTTCAATAACCTCTGTGTCACTTTCTTCACTATCAGAAGCGAATTATAATGACGAGGAATTTGATTTAAATCATATCAAAGGCAGAGTACATCGAGATGAAATACTACATTTAGTAAGGAATTTATAAGCCAAATAAAATGAAGATAAGGATAGTGCTGACAGATCAACTTCCAATTCATTGCGCGCCACAGCGTGAAATTAATAAACAGATTTCGGAATGGTTAGAGAAACGAAGGATATGCCTTTATCCAATTTTTTCAGCAATTCCAGTTTTTGTTTAATGGACTTCGAAACATACTTTCATCGGAAATTCTATTTGACATAATCGAAAGTTCAAGCTTACTTTTATAAAATTGCTCTAACTGTCGGCAAAAAATAATAAGCTGGATCCAATTTGAAGATTAAGGAACAACACAATCTGCTACATTAACTGAATTAGATAATTTTAGCTTAGCTTATATCATCCGTTATACATTAAATGCGCATGCACACACGCATATTCGCAGCCGTAGAGGTCTTACGTGCATGCGTCAACGCGACGCATGCGCAGAAAATTTGTAGCTTTGAGGTCCGGATTATAGGCCATTCCGAATTATTGGTGTCCGAATTAACGACTTTATTATGTTCTCATTGTTGTTTCAAACATTCCCCAAAAAGTAGGAATTGTGGATTAATACCATGGAGACATTTTTCATTTTGCTACAATTTTCTGGAATCTTCCAGAATCGTGGGTCTATAAATCTTGCCTTCAAAACTTTCTAAACTTTCCAAGCTGCAATGTCTAAAATTCTAAAAAAAAAAAAAAAATTATCCCTACTTATTCAGTAACAGCAAAAAGCCAGAAATATTTTGGAAAAAAACAAAAAAATATCTGACCAAAAAAGTGTAAAATTAATTTTACCGAGAAAACTGACGCATATTCTGAGACAATTACATGAGAAAACTCTTACCATGAAAAAAATTAAAAAGACATTTTTAATTAATTACATAGCTATTTTGATTTTGCTAAGAACTGTTTCGTAAATTCTGCTTTATAGCATTATACCTTGCTTATTTTTTAGATTCAAAATATTGTATAAGTGGCCAAAATGAAACTATAATACAACAGCAAAAAATAAAAATGCTTTATTCTAATGTTATTTCTTAAATGTAATTACAATATATTACCATTATTTTAATGAAATTTATCAATGTTACAATGTTCTAAAAAATC